AAAACCAATAAAATATTTCTGATAAGAACTAAAAGTTATTGTGGCCCTCAACAGTTGACCGCTAAAGTGGTCATTAACTTGGAAATCGAATTTTAAGTTAAATTTATTTTTTAAAACTCTTACAAATTTACTTTCAATGAAATTGGGAAAATATTTTTTTTCTTACTCTGCTGCTTATTATTTTCTTATTTGCGGTATCTTTAATATAACTACGGGTATCATCATGTAGATACGACTTCAGTTTTATGAAAGGAAGTCGTTTCAATGCTGTGGTTTCAGTTTTGTATTTTAAATAAGAAAAGAAGACATGATCGACATATTTCTCTACTTCTTCTTTTAAGTTTTGAGTTTATTTGGGACATTGTTTTACATAAGAAGAATAGTCGACCACAACTTGTGTTGTTATATAGACATATATATACTGTATGCACAACAGACAATGATATTGTTTATGGTTTTAATGTTTTGTGTATACACACACATTCGTACGTATATTTTCCTATAAACGTAAAATTATTTTGTATATGTATACATGTGTGCATATGTTTTATCTATGCGATATTTAGTGTAAAAATTTTCTATATGTTGTCTATTTCTAAGCTGAAGTATTTTATATCATACACGCAAGCCGTAAATTTTATTGTCAGAGACATACTCTGGCTTGCCATTTACGAATGAAAATATTTACTCTTTACTTTTTATAAAACAATTATCCTAGTTCTGGAACAATGTAGGAATGTGGCTCATATCAAATCTTTCTTGAATATAAACAATCAGTTACATTTTAAGTCAACTCTGAGTTTGTCTATTCCCCAGCTTTTCGTTTATCCTTTTGTTAGGTTTCTCCTGCTTGATCTCTTGCAGAAAGTCATCATTTTGAGAAATTTTTTTTACAATTGAAAAAATATTACCTTTTGTCCAAACGACGCTTATATAAATTCAGATGAAGTAAACATACAGTCTCAAGTTTATAGGTGGCTCTGTTATGTTTCTTGGTAAAAATGAGGAATTGCGCGGAAAGGAAAACTAATTTTACGATGTTAAACATGTTGTCCCGTAGTCCAATTAAAAAATTCACTCAAACTAATGCTTGATTGGTAGACGTAATTGGACGGTTGCACTTTGCAGTACCTTAGACAACTCAAGGAGAAGTAATCTTTTAAGATCTCAAATTTCAATTTGCGATATACATGAACATGAACATTTCTATTGACATGACATGACATGACCAGGTTGTTCCAAAAGTTTTTCTCGCATTCAAAATATCTTTAAAACCGCTCTAGCCGACACGTTGATCTGAAAACCAATTTTTTTGTGTATTTAAAATTTGGTCCTCACAACAACGATTTAAGCCAATACAAAAAACAAGAAAAGAAAACCAAACGGTGAGGCTCATTAACTGTATTAAGTTAAAATTAAGTCACATTGAAAATTAGCCATCTATGCATAGCTTTTAGGCTCCAACGTTGTACGCTAACATTTTTCTAATTTTTAAAGAACATGAACTAAAGGACTCACATTACGTTTCGCAGTTACTAGAGGCATTTCTCAATAGAGGATTCTCGATTATTAACAAAGAATATTACATAACCATAAATATGATAATATTTTAATAAATTTGTTCAACCCTTTTCTAGGGTAATGAAGAAGAAGAGTAAGGCTTCAGCTATTTGATAAAAAGACATACATTTCTCGAGTACGTATATATTTGCAGAAAATGATGTAACTTAATTGAAGTTCATAACTAATTCAAGTTCATAACTAATGCAGTCTTTAATTCGATTGCCTGCACACACATGCACTCGGAAATATGTAACAATTGCAATGGTATGAGGGAAACCTACCAATGAATGAAAACGAATTTCAACCTGAATATTTCCGAGATCTTTTCAATTTATTGTTTCTTTTATGAACCTTCCTTATATTGTCATGTATAGTAATCGTTTATTCATTTTTTTTTTTTTTTTTGAATGCTTTGCAGCAAATCTCTTATCAATAGCTTATTTTGTGTTTATAGTTTAAATTATATATATGCCAAGCAAACTAAAACTAATTGAACGTTTAGTTTGCATACATTTTGCCCTAAAATATTTCGAGAGTTGTTTGCCTATTCGCTACGACGTGCTGCATACATTCAGCTGCAGTAAGCAGCACTTTTACGATTAAAGGCTTAAATTGCAATATTGTAGAAAAGATCATCGATTGAAAGCATAACAAAGTTTAAAGTAAACAGCTTCTGCTTCGAAGAAAACACTTTTTTTTCCAATATTTTTGAACTTATAATACTAAACAAGCCTAAGGCATAAACTATGGCAGTATAGCAAAGAATGAATATCAGCAAGTAGTAGAGCAATCTTTAGCCTTAAAGGAAGTGAAAGTAAAGCGAACGTGAGAGATCTGCCGCAATAAGATGCAAATACGGAACTCTCAGCTTGGCAGTCGTGAGTCTTAACCCCTCGGCTATATCGTAGGCCAAAAAACGAGTACAGGTATACAGGAAACAGAGTCTGATTTCAATTATTATTAAAAATTTAAAGAAGTCACAAATTGTGTTTTTTTGAAAACATAATTAATACATTTTTCATTGTTATTTCAGTTTATAGTTCTCTTAGCTAACATTTTCGTTACGGACAGCAGTGACAGCTGCTAATGTAACAATTAAACTATTATAAGAAGAAATAATGACATTTCAATGTGAAGAAAAAAAACACATTTATCATGAAGACTCCACCACTAACCTGTTGGCTAATAAACGACTTGATGTTGATGTCATATTAAAATCGTAAGATAGGCTGGCGAGCAGGAAAAATGTGTTTCTTTAAAGCGCCTCCATATAAAGATGCTTCTACATAGCTAGCTAAACTAATATGATATATTATATTAACACTCATTTACGGTAGGTAATCAAAGGGAATTTTTTCCGCTATTATGTCTTGAGTATTTACAAATGTAATTCTTCTTGTTGCAAAAATACACAAGATATTGCGTGTTATTCTGCGAAATAAAAAGAAAACTAAGACAAAACTTTTTAAAGCGGTAGAAAGAAAAAAAGAGAAAATACCAAACAATCCGCAGGAAATCATGAAATTTTAAAATTGAAAGATGAGTAACCAGTACACTTTGTGACTTCATTAGAAGAACGTCACGTTAACTTTTAAATTTTTTTACATAGATTTCATCTTTAAAGGAAGCAAACAAAGTTCCTTTTTTTGCTTACGCTTTATAACGTACTATTATTTTTTATCTTATTCTTCTTAGTTATGGCATATAGTCCTTGTTATATAAAACCTAAAACAAATACTATTTCCATATTTTATGAGTTTAGTTTAAATGAATGCTGGTCGTAGAATATCTGTCCGCGACAGCACTCGCTGTCAGAAAAATTCATCCTTTTTCCTTGTTTTTTCTGTTTTCTTCATTGCTCTTAGAAAGGATTGCAAGCAAAAATTTCATGAATTGTGTAAACTTGAAAAACAAAGTAAAATATTAACAATCAAAAATTTATGGCATACATTTGGGATGAAGCTTTCTTATGGCATAATGTAAGGAAAAACAATCAATTACTTTAGGTTTCTATTCGTTTATTGAAAGGAAATCGAACGAAATAAATGTTATTTTTCGGCTTTAATTAATGAATTAAAACTTGTAATAAAAAAGGAAAAAAAAAAGATTTTTATCCAATAATTCTGTAAAACAGAGAAGATAAAGAGATACAAAGGCGGCAGATGAGTTCAATTATTGTATGTAAGAATTTTACTCGGCCGTTATCTAAGAGAAATTGTAAGTAGGGTCGGTAAGGGGCCTGAGTAAAATTGGGATTTATTCATTTCGAAACATGCACAACTATATATAAAAAACAGCTGTAAGTTGCTACAGTAAAGCGTGCACAACAAATTTTCTCAGCACTTTGAATAGATGAAGTTCTGTGTTGACAATAAATAAATTTTTGTTCCTAAATTAAGTAAAACAACGAAGAAACGATAGAGGGTAAGGGGCAATAAAATTGAAAGATGAGTAACCTTCCATACATTCAATTTTATCATCCGTTCAGAAAGCAGTGTAGTTTTCTTCGCATAAACATTAGAATAAAAGAATAGGATTAAGTTCGACGTAAGGACTCAGAGATCTACTCTTATCTAATTGGTCTACTTTTGTGTGCCCATTGTGTGAAAGGAAGATAAATGCGACTAAGTGAGTCGTCTTGAAATTCTCATTTTCGAAACGTTCAGGATTTATGATTAAGTCAATATATGAATAAGTCAATATATTACAAATCTTTTATAAAAAAGAAACAGCATTGTTCGCATTAAAAGTTTAAATTTAAAAATATTTATACTTCTTGCGAACCTCTTCTTGCGACCCTTATTCCCATCCTGGGAATAATGTATTATTCTCTATCACTACTCCACTCTTTTACTCTTTCATGCATTCACCCGCTGCCAATAGTTTGTTTTGCAAAGTAAGAGCTCAACTGAGCTTGCATTGCTTCAGTGTATTTTGTTTTGATTTTTTCTATAGAAATTGCAAAGATATTGTGCATTAAAATAAAACCTTTTCTTACAGTGTAGCAGGCAACTTTCCAGCGCACTTCCAATAAGTTTGAAAGCTCAGAGAATGTTTGTAAACAGCAACCTGTATGAGTTTGACGATTTTAACCAAATGATTTTAGAAAAATACACATAACACAACTACGTCTGGGCTCTCGACATAATAAAAACTTTAGTTTATTAGTGAGTTTCGTGAGTTTCTAGCCGTAAAGGCGAAGTGGGTTAACTCGTAGCAGAAAAGTATGTGTTGTTTTCTTAGACAAGGTGTGTGTTATTGTCAATTAAAAACCAATGAGATGTTCTTAAAAAAACAAAACACAAAAGAAAAAAGAAAGTTTTAAAATTAAAAAAAAAAAAAAAAATAAGTAAATAAAAAACAAAATTAAAAAAAAAAATGTTTAAGAAAAGTTAAATGAATATAAAATAAATTAAAAGAAAATTTACTAAAAAAGAAAGAGGAAACAAAAACAAGTGCGCTGATCTTTAGAGATAGTTTCTTGGTTGTTAAACAAAAAAAAAAAAAAAAAAAAAAAGCTCTGTAAATAAAGACAGTCTTCCGAAATCTTCGAAAGGCGAAAAGATAAAAGCAATTCTTAGGCATATAGAAGGGAAAGTGAAAACATTTCTTTTTCTGTTATTTTCTACGTTAAACAAGACGCACATCTAACCGAGATTGGTTGAGAAGAGAACGTGATTTTAAAATATGTAATCTAATAAATATAATAATTGTCTAAAAGAATAAAATATAAATAAATGGATGCAAAATACTAACACAATGTAAGTAAGTATGTTTGCGTATGCATTTATGTGTATGCAAAAGTGATCGCTACACCATTTGGGAAACGTGTGAATGAATGCTTCAGCAGAGACTTCTTCACTTGTACTTTTTTTTTCTCCTTTCGTTGTTCTTCGCGAGTTCAGTTAAAATGCGTGAGAATCTTGGTGTTGTGTTTCGTTCTCGTTGTTATTGCACAAATAATTGAATCGAAATTACTTAGGTTTCAATTATAATTTTATAGTTTTGTGTTATGATGATGGGATAGGTCTATCTCAGAAGACCGGGGGCGTGTCATTTTTGTTGTTTCGTTTGCAATATGTACAATAGGATATAAAAATATACACCGTGGACTTATTAAAGTATGCATAAAATAGCCTTCGAAGATATCAAAATTCACTCTTTGCATTCGTTGTCTTTACACTCTTATACAATATCATCTCTGGCTAATTGACACTTATAAATGGCATTAGAATGTCAAAAATTTTGAAACCAATTAGTTTATGTAGATAAAAGTGGCAATTGCTCGGGTTTAGTATATTGAAATTATAAAACTTGAATTCGCCAGCTCAGACCCCTTTGATTATTTCCATGCAATTAAAAAAACCATTTCCGGCCTCATTCGTTCAGTAGGCGAATAAGAGATTTATAATAAGTTCGGAAGCTTGTCATGCGTGTAGTCGTACATAAGATTTCTTTTAAACTGTGCTCCATAATACGCCTTTAGTTAGACTTTCTTTCGAAGTTTGATACAATGATTACACAGAGGTGACATAAGCGATGGGCTTGCAATATGCGTCTTAGAGCAGTTTTTCTACTGCATTTTATAGCATAATTTGAGAATCATGAGAAAGAAGAAATTTATCGAATAATTTTATTTACATTACCGTAATTCAACAGCTAAGGTGCTTGGCCCAGTAAACAAGTAGTAAATAAAAATTTCTTAGAATGCTTGCGTACTTTTAGTTTTGAAATTGTTGTAAATGTTGCATATGGGTGCCTTCAATTTTCAACCTGTAGCTTTAGTAGCAGAAGTCTATTTAGAACATATGTACAGAAAGTTTCTTATAATCGGACCGCATCTTTCTTTACTCTCTACTACTTATTGTGATTGAATATTTGGCGAGATACGGTCACACGGATGGCGTCCATCCGCCCTAACGTTTTTTCATTTCCTCGCCAACCCGTCATTCACATTTGATAATTGTGAAATAAAGCCATGGCCTGGATCGAGTATTGCTGAAGCCACAAACATTATTACTCGTTGAGAAAGTATTGGAAGTGAACCATTTACCTTAGTTATGCACACTATGTCTTCAATTCGCAAAATTTTGGGGAAATAATGCATAAATGCTTGCTATCAATTAAAATTGTGATTGAAAAGGGTGTACGTACTGTGCTGCACATAACCGTTTTTTTTCAATACGGTTGCGTTCCTTAAGCAAACGTAAAACTTTGAAATTATTGACGCATACATTCATGGCCGGTGGTAGCTTATCAAAGTGCTTTAATTTACTTGCACATTTTATCGCTTCGTTTATAAAGCAAACCGTGCTCCGAGTGTTTTCATGTCCTATATCAAAAATGATGGCAGATTTAATCGTAAAACTAGTTAAGGCATTTTCGATAACAGTAATAGACTTCAGGTATAAAAAATGCCTTAATAATTTATACACTAAAGGAACTAATAATTGGCTGATTAAGCCGTTTATGCACTACATACATAGATGAAACAGTTCACAAGACTTCTTGTACATTTCTGTGCATGTGTACCTAAGTTTCTTACATTCATAGCCACATATCCACGAAGTATTCCAAATTTTCTCATTCCATACGTCAAGAACAGCATCATGATCGTCCTAGAATTATGTTCATTGCATCTCTTCATGTACTCGTAGTGAAAATTCGGCAAAATCAAATCTCGCGAAGCACTTCTAAGCCGGTATTGTTGGGCTTACGTTAAGACTATGTTTAGTATATTCACACGCGCCAGTTTTTTGCATTAGTAGACGAGAAAAAAATCGTTTCTTCCTCTTATAATGGAATGTTATTGAATAGAAGGGAATCGTGTTTTCGTCGGAAAGATTTTAGAAAACTTGTTCCTTTTTAAGCATCAATAGCACTCGATTTGATAGCAATGACAATTGTTGCTGCGACACCAACTCCTTATAGGGCGTTAAATTTGCTAAGATATATGTAATACTAAGCAGGCGGTACGATTGATTCAGGATCAGTTTTTGAGCCGCTTTAATCTCATTTCTTCTTATGTCTCCTATCTGTTCCTCTGTCTGATATCTTGCGATGCAGTTTTAAGTCTAACTGCAATTTAGAGTTGTTTCGCGCAGGGTGATGCGTTTTAGCCCAAAGGCAAACCCTACTCAAATAGATGCGATCGAATAAATTTTACAACCATTCGCTATATTTTGAACGAGGTATTACATAAAAAAAAAACAGCAAACTTCCCGACAAACACCACTAAGTAATAGTATTTCGGCATAGTAAATTGATGTCAAAAACTTGGATCAGGTGGACCTTCTGCCACACAAGCATTTTTACGAAAAGTAAATCTTTATAGTTTTTGAATATTTTGTGATGAAAATATATGAATGTTTGAACCATGAATTTTTTAGTTCACACCCCATCCAAGGATTTTCACGTCAAGTTAACAAAGGCGATAAAAACTGGCTTTTAATATTTTATGAAGAAAATAGGTAAAGATTTTTCACCAAAAAATTAATTTTGGTAGATTAGGATCATCCAAGTACTTGTTTTGGGGTCGCATCCTCTATGAGTCCTTCAAATGAAAGCTCACGTTTTAATTGCCTGAGCGGCCGACTACAGCCATAATAATCGAAATTAAAAAGTTGCCAAAAAAATTAGACTACAATGCAAAAATATATTTTTGTTTTTCGCATTTTTTCGTTCAAATTATAATTAAATTTCGCAGACGCGACGAGTATCGATCAATGTTCTCTTAAAATATCGCGGCAACCTTAAGTATGCGCTCTATATATGTGTTAGGAAGAGTAGGAAGGCAACTATTAAAATTTCTCTAGCAACAACTTATGTACTTTTTTGTCCTTCTTCTCTTGAAAACCTTTGACTTGTAACAAGCAGTGATTTCTCAATTTGTTCGAAATTTAAAGTAAAAAGTGTCGCCGTCACACTGAGTTTTGTATTAGTTTGTTATCGCGCATCTAACTATCTCTACAAGCCTCTACTTTACCGTTGTCTCACTGAATATTCTCTGCCTACTAAACAAAATGGAAGAAAACCGCGAGCGAAAAAATGTTTCACTCGAGCATTCGTTATCATATTACGGGAATTTTCATCTGTGTCACACGATTTGCGCTGACATAATTTTCACTTTCACTTTACGTGTCAAAGCAAAACCACATCATCCGCCAAGAGATTGAAGTCATATGACGCAATATTATTATACTATAAAAATATGCTAAGCACTTTAAATATAAAAATACATATAGGATAAGTACCGAAGCTGTCAATTTGCTGAAAAGCATCAAAACAAAAAAAAAAAAACAAAGCAACTATCCTCAATGTCTGTTGCTTTGAAGGAACAATGGATATAAAAAAAAGTTGACGGGAAAAAAGCTATGAACAATAATTTATGAAATTCTAGTGTTTTGACTGGAACAGCAACAACAACATTTCTGTCTTTTCTTCTATTTATACCAGTTTTTAATACCTTTGAGGAACGTCATTATGTTAATGCATTTTTTCTAGAGTTCTTTTTTTTTTGCCCCCCTCCTCCTCTTTTAAAAGAAGAACTCATCTGTAGAATACGTTGACAAAGTACTAACACTAATAATCCTTTTATAATGTTTTACGCCATTATTGCTATTGCTACTGCCGCCGATGCTATTGCAGCAGCAGCAGCAGCACCAGCAGCATTGTTGTCGCTGTTAATTAGCATCTTGTAAAGTTTTTTGTTGTCGTGTTGTTTCGCTGACAACAAAGTCTCTAGCGAATAATGCGTGTGTGACAAACGCTTGTTGTCTAGGTAAAAAGACAAAAACAAAATATCTGACAATTTTTGCGTGTGTGTTTACTAACAACAACAAGTGATAGCAGAGGCGTTCAAAAGGTATTACGACGAGCGTATAAAGTGAAAAACATTACAAAAGTAAAAAAAAGTAAAGTAAGAAAATCGGATGACTTATCGCAACTATCGCAACTTGACTTGAACACGCAAATAGTGATTCCTTTAAATGATTTATGAAAAAAATTTCATAGATTTATGGATTATTTTGTAACATGTATGGCTTTAATCTTTATTTGTTTTTCGGTAAATCCTGATAGCTAGTTGATGTTATTACTTGTTATTGGTTCTTAATGTTGTTCCTTAACAAACTCTGTCCAAGCTATTATTGCGAAGCAGAACAAAAAAATACAATCAAAAACAGATTTTTCTGACATAGACAAAAAAAAAAAGAAAAAGATAAACAAAGGAAGCAATAGAACAAACGGATTACTGTTGATTACTCAAGAACACCAAGTGCAAAACCCCAATTTAGTCAAGCAGTGTCAGCAAATCAAGGTAGATATAATCTACAAATTCCTACAGCTAATCCTAAACGTAATCAAAAGTCAACATTTCTTTAAGCCTCTTATTAATGTAAAGAAATATACTGAGGTAAGACTGTAGCAAAAAATTTCAAAATATATTAAAAAGCCTATGAGCCTTTCAGGTTGAGTACAAAAATTGTAAAGCATTCGCGAGTGCTTGTCCGATAGATTTGATGACGTCAGGAAATATTTTTACTAGGTTTTAATCAGCATCTCTTACAACTCGAAAGTTGAAATTTTTTCCCTTTGCAGCAAAGATCTTTGCTCACAGATTTCAGAATATCCGCTAAGCATAACAATTCGTCTGTCCGTTGTGCGAATGGCGGATCTCCACTCTTGTACACCATGTGAATTGATTTATAAACCGCATTTTATTATATCAAGCACCGTCCATCCGAAAAAGCTGAGGATATAA